ATATAATGTATTTTTAAAACTAATTGCAACTCTATCTGTCTAACATGCTTTCATTTAAAACAGAAAAAATTATTAGGTAATTTTAGGGAAATAAATTAAACTCTTTATTATTATTAATATATGAAACAAAATATGGCTCTGCGTTTTGATGGAAGTCACCCTATATTGCACCTACTAATCAATAGAGCACAATGTATACATGTACTCAGCAAGATTTTAAGTTAATAATTTTGTAATCGGAGAACTACAGATTAAAACAGTAAGACTTTCTTTATAACATTCTCTTTATTTATTTATTTATTTTTACATCAGTACAAATTATAACTTTTACATTAGTATACATTTTTTTTCTTTTAAGCAAGAAGTTGTAACATCATGTTAAAGTTATATGTAAAAGAGAACAAAACAAAACAAAAACAGAAAAAAAAAAGGGGGGGGGGTGTGTGAGAGAATTTGAGGTGTTTTACTAGGGTAGGGTTCAATCACTACTCTCTTGTTAAAATACTCAATAAATGGATTCCATATTACATAGAAATTCTTGATTTTAAGAAAGTCTGAGCTTCTCAAGTTGCAGGCAGGACATGATATTTTTTATCAACGTAGAGCAGCGGGGAGGATCTTTTCATTTTCAATTCAGTAAAATCAATCCACACGACCAAACGGTTATAAATCTTACCACTGTACTTTGATTTTTAGATAGTTCTGCATCATGACTGACAACAAATATAGCTAAAATAGGCCCGGAATATATTTGTTTTCCCAGTACTTCTGATATTAACTGAAAAACCAAAATCCAATAATTAACAATTTTATTACAACTGCCAAACATGCGATGCCGGAGTTTGACTGCATCTGTCACACAGTGGGTCTACATAGGGGAACAACTTGAAGAGATTTAATGTAGGCAAGTGGATTCTTAAATTATATTAAACCATGCCTGATACACACAGAACTAGAATGAACTTATTTTTGTGCTTCCTGCCTTAGCCAGATTTTAATTTCTGCTCCGAGATCCTTTTCCTTTGACAGGTTGAGATGCTCTAATGAGTCATCACATTTTAACTGAGTCAATTTATTATGGATTTATTATGTGAACTTGGCATGTTCTCCCCGTGGTCATGTGGGTTTCCTCTGGGTGCTCTGGTTTCCCCCACAAGTGGTATAGGTGAACTGGGTCAGCTAAATTATCTTTAGTGTATGTGTGTGAATGGGTTTGTGTGGATTTTTCCCAGTGATGGGTTGCAGCTGGAAGGGCATTCGCTGGGGAAAACATATGCTGGATAAATTGGCGGTTCGTTCTGATGGCGACCCCAGATTAATAAAGCGACTAAGCCAAAAAGAAAATGAATGAATGAATTACATTCCACCTTTCAGAAATGGATTCTGTAGAAACAAATTTTATACTAGGGAGGTTGGTGGTTCAGTAGGAAATTATATAAAATTATTTTAGGCAAAATGGCAAGCTTGTAGATTTTTAAAACAGTAAAACTTTTTCTGTATTTGAAATAAGTCTGTTGAACTCCCCAAGGGTGCATGTATTTAATAAAAGTATAATAAAAAAAGGTAAAATAAAAAAGACGTTTAACACATACAATTAACTATATTTTTATGTAGATTTGAAAAAAAAAACCTAGATATCAATGTATGTATATGTACAGCATGTTGTTGAAATATTAAGTTGCTGCTTAATATTTTTGTGGACACTGCATTTTTATGATTTTTTTTAAATACAGTTTAAAAAACAGCTTTTCATAACATTATAAATGTCATAAATGTCAATTAATCACATTATAAGTGTAATTTTTAACCTTTTGATTAGTTTACTGGATACTCATACATTGGAAAAAAACTCTTCAACGTTATTTACTGTCAGTTCTCTAAATTTGTCATTAGATACTTGTTTTCAGTGAATTGTTCATTTGAGTTCTGTTATAAACACTGATAACATGTCTTCAAAATTTCAATTGCGGCATTTATTTGCAAAAAACTAATAGGCTACAGTTTTAAATATTACATGCTTTTAGACTTTAAATATAGAATATTAAATATTCAGTGTTAGAAAACCTGAAATATTTTGAATATTTTCCTAATAAATCCTCGAATTGATAATTTTTCATTAAATACACACAAAATTACCTTCAAAATACACTCTCTTCATTTTACCATAGCTAAACTTACAGTTGGAAGATGCAAGAAACCTGTAAACCTCCTTTTAATACCAAGAAATGTCTAATTTGACTGCACCATTCCATAAAACTGTTCTAAGGGCCCAGGATAGTTGTTAAATTAGTCGTGCCTGTCACCTTTGCCTCTTTTTTGTCGGTGGGATTCAAACATACACCTGCCTTCACTTCAGATCTTCCCACACTCGCTACATTCTTTCCCGCATGCGCACCGCGGCCTTCACGCTCCTATAAAACGCATTCCCACATCTCATTATCGTTTTGACATCTAACACAACCATCTTCATATATTATTTACAGCGCAGTCCATGTGTTCAGTTATAGTCGACCATCTTTAAACACGATCGCTGCGAGTGTATCAAAAACAGATGCACATAAATGCTAACAAAAACGTCAACAGTCAAGTATAAGAGTCGAATCATCCAAAAACTGCGACCAGTTATTATCGCTAACGTAACATGTCGCTCCTGTTGTTTGCATGAGATAAACAAATATTGTGGTTAAATAAATCTAGCTGACACTAAATTTGGGTATTACTTATGCTACTTTTCGAAAGCAAAATTCAAGTTTGAGCTCGTCCTGAGTGTTGTCAACCTGTGTTCGTATCCGCGGATGTTTGGAGCATCGGATCCCGGGCTCATCGTCTTACCTTTGGCCGCGCAGTAATTCCTCTCGCCGAAGCCCGTCGGCTGCTCAAAGCCTAATTCATCCGCTCCTCCTCTTCTGTTTTCACCGTACGATGTTACAGACGAGATGCTTTACTGTACGAGTAACTTTAGGCTGTAAGAGCTTTTACGAATGTGTGCATAAGGCTCATAGTACAGCGCAACTTCCGCCATCCGGGTGTGCCATTCATTCCCGTCCAGCAGCTCCGGAGCTGGAAAAATACTTGTGTGCAGTGTGTGTGTGTGTATTTAAAGGACCCTCGCACTATTTACTGATGCTTCGTCTGTTTCCAAACGTGAAAATATTCGATAAATGTGGCAAAGAATGCGATTAATTTCAACTCTTCATTACATAAAACAACAAACGTTAGCCTAGCTATCAATGTTTATGTTATTACTGCTTTTATTAGTAGGCTAGTAAATAATTCAAGAGTAGGAACTGTATAAGGGTATACAGGTAGTTCGTGGGTTACATTTACTGTATAATTATGATATTTATGAATCTACAGACTTTTTTTTCCAAAACAACTTATAAAAATGGCCTAAAGCACTTCTAATATAGTTATCGCTTCAAGTTTGTTGTTACGTTAGACGTGTTATGAAACCATACAGCCACAAAAGAGGATCGAATAAGTTTCATCACTGCCATGCAAAAGTATGCTGTCAGTTTACTGTTCACCAAAAATACTACAATATTGTGTACTAAGTTCAAAATAACCTACATCTATCAGGATAGGGTATCCACATTGAAATGATGTCAAGTGTAATTTCTTTTAATTGAGATTTCTAGATCTCATGAAAGCTGAATAAATAAGCTTTCCAATGATGTACGGTTGTTAGGATTGGGAAAATTCTGGCTGATACAAAAGAAATAAAAAAAATATTGTGAAAAATCACATTTAAAATTGTCCAAATAAGTTCTTAACAATCCTTATTAAGAATGTAGTTTTTATGTAGGCTATTTACAGTAGGAACATGATATTAACTTAATATTATGAAATAAAAATCAATAATAAGACTAAAATATCAGACTAAATGTCCTTGCTGTTAACCCTTTAATTGTCACACCAAGAAAAAAGCAAGAGAATTTTTTTGATTGCATTTCTTAACTTCTAATGTCACTAATTAACACAATCAATGCATTTTTTTCCCCAACACATAATTTCTAAAATATCAGCCTCTACCAAATGGTTGAGATGTTGGTTTATGGTAAAAGTACCAGAATTAATAAATATACTATAAAATCAGAAAATATGAAGTGTAAGACCAACTGAATTAAAATATAACCAAAATTAAACATTTTTGAATACTAAATCATAGCCATAAGCTATAAAATATTTCAGATTTGTCCGTTTTTTTTTTTTTACAATAAAATCAAAATCAAGGGAACTAATGCAACAGTATTTTGTTTGTTTGATTTTTTTGTAAACCAGCAATGCTGTGTAATTTCAAACAATATAAATCATAATTTGGGAAATATTTAAAAAAGAAAAAAAAATCAAAGGGGGGCTAATCATTCTGACTTCAACTGTATGCAAATGTTCATGTTTTGCATATAAAAATGTCCTATATGTACATATTTCCAACATATATTACAAAATATTGCAAAAAATATCCATTAGATCATTAAAATTACAAATATAAATTAAAAACATCCAGTGCCCAGCATAATTGAGAACACTCCATTTTTAAAATGAATATTTTTATGCATTTCTCAGTGAATATAGACAGTGTATTTTGGTGCATTTAAACTAAACAGATTTATTAAACAGATATATTTATTAAAATAACATTTTAGTCACCAAACATATCTAATAATGGAAAGATAAAATAATTAAATTCAAGCAAAATATTGTAAAAAAACAAAAAACCTACAAAATTTCAACAAAATTGTTTTTTACTTTTCTTGATTTTTCCTCTTTTTAAAATTTGTATGCAATACTTTTTTATGAGATAAATTTTGGTGTACTAGTTTTTCAGTACTGACTAATCTAATGTATATGCTAAAATTTAATGTCTGCACTTCACCCCTCAAAAAGAAATAATAATAGGCTTAAACATAAACAAGGTATAAGACTAGCATTTTTTGATGAATTATTATGTCTCTCTGCAAGTCTAATATTAAAAACACTACAAAAAAATCAACAATGAGGCATATACACATACTGTATTTAATGCATCAACAAATATACACATTTATTACATCACATAAATAAAAGATGTCACCGTAGAATCACTCTATAAGGGCTATTGCACTATTACTATTCTTTACAATTTTCAAAAATCTATATAAATAAAATAATACAAATAATTACATTTAATTAAAAACAAAAAAAGTCTCATTTGACTAGCAAGTTCAAGTACCTTTAAGCAACTATTTAAACAGTTTAATATTTAAAGGAGGATATGTTAAAGACAATTGACCAACCGAATTAAACTTTATACATTTCGAAATTAAATCAGTTTAATCTTAATCATGACAAAAGAGAGTTTGGAAGTCTCTCTGTGCCATTGGTATCCTTTCTTTCTCTTTATTTAGCATACATTTAAGCATTTGTTTCCATTGTTGGGATTTGCAAAAACTGGATGGTGCAACCTTGAAGCCCAGGGGCCTCTCTGGCTCCTGACAGTCACTAGCCCCATTGGCCTGGTCAGTAATACATTCCTGCTCCTACAGGGACAGAGCTGACATTTATATTTGTTCAGAAGCTGAACTTTGCCTACTGAGTTCTTAGACAGCATTGTGTTAACATCAGCACTAGGAGATTGGAAGATAAAACTCATTTGTTTTCCTAAGAACGGACATGACCGTATAAAGTCATTTTAAACACTGAGGGGTCTGTATAATAGCAGCACAGCGTATAATGTGTTATGTAACATATCTAGATGTCACACATTCTAACTCCCAAATTCATTTTTAATGTTTGACTTTGATTCATTTGATTTTAAGCGTTCTTCTCTTATATTTTAACCTTGATAGAAGCTTATGAGCTGAAATGTGTCAGTCAAAGTTCTTCAAACAACAACAAACGGCCCTGGTTTACCTTTCCTTCACTATTCTGTCAAGGCCAGAAAGCTTGATGCGTTTTGTTGTTCTTGTCCAAGATGAAAGCGGGGTGTAGGATGTGGGTTATATAACACAGCAGGCTATTCTTCCCATTTACTTCTAAATTACCAACATTTTCCATGCTGGATCGATTCCATGCTGGTAAATAGCATGCACTTGAGACTTCTTTTTTTCTTTTCTTTGCTGTTAATGTTTTCAGAAAGTCTTCAGGGAATGGTTCACACACAGAAATGTATTCACGATGCACCTGCTCTGTAATAGTTACTTTTTTTCTGTGTAGCACAAAAGAAGATATTCTGAAGAATGCTGGGTAAGCAGAGAGCTGATGTTACCATTGGTGTACATGTATATAGCAGGGAAAGGACAATAATTGGTTTCAAGGTTTACCGTAATTTGGAAAAGTCAAGGTTTTAAAACCGCAAACATTTTCTGTTATACTATTCCTTAGGTATATGGATGGTTTGTGTTTTTGAAACTAATGAAGATAGCAGAGGTCAATGACTTATTCTAATTATTTAGCCTGACATGTTTACTGTTCCAAAATATTATAAATGTTTCTTAAAATAAATTATATTCTGTTCAATTAAGGAAAAAAGTTTGCCAGACATTTAAAAACAGGGCTTCTGCTGGTTTCACATGGTTAAATTTAAGACTTTGAGACATTTTTAACACCATTATGAATGAAATTTTATACCCATAAAGAACTAAAGGCTAAGGATTTTTTTTCAAATGGCCCAGATAGAAAATATTTTTATTTGCCCTATAAAAATATATATTATAATTTAATGCATTTAATAATACAATAATACATTAATAAGAAAAAAATATATAAATTTTAGATTTTATTTATTAGCTAAATATTTTAAATATTGTGTAAAAAAAAAATAAAAAAATGAACAATTGTTTTAAAAGTTTTAAAAACTATAATAAACTAAATGTATACACAACAATCTGTCCAGGTTAGTGTCCTCGCTGTAAATACATGGAGAACTTCTAAAAAATTGATTCTGTAAGTAAAATAATTAAACCCATTATGATAAACAGATAAAAAAATTACCTTAAAGTTTAATAAAAAGTTATATTATTATTTTTTTTTTTTAAGTTTTATTGAGATGATTGTTGGTGAATTTATGAGTTTTGGCCAGACTTGGTAGCAATACATGAACAAAGGAAAATTAAAACCTGTTTAAAAAATCATTTAAGACCAATAACACAGCATTTTAGTAAATGTAACCTTTTAAGACCTTAAATTTGGATTTTGGGATTTAAGACATTTTAAGACTTTTTAAGACCCTGCAGAAACCCTAACAAAAAGAACATATACAGTAGAGTAGTAATCACAATGCCATGAAACCGTGATATTTGCATCCAAGGTTATCATATCATTAGAAACGTATACCGGTCCATGCCTAGTACATAACAGAAAAAAAAAAATTCAGTACTTATGTTCGATTGGCTACCACCATTCTTCTAAATATCTTATTTCGTGCTCAACGGGAGAAAGGGAGAACATTAGTGAACATTACTATTTATTTGTTAATAAACAACATTTACAAACTAACAATGCAAAAAAAGGTTTATATTAACAATTATTCATCCAGTTTAAATTGGAGAATCAGTTTTAAGAAATAAAAACATCAGAGACTGATCAAGAATACATGCTCAGTATAAAAATACAAAGTTCTCTTTAACAGACAGTAACAATAGTTATCAAGCATTGAACAATCTTGCCAATGGGTGGCAGTATTGCACTAAAGATATTTATTTATTAAGGCCAGTCATACAAATGAAAGAAACTTTTGTTTTTGTTTGTTTATATATATATATATATATATATATATATATATATATATATATATATATATATATATATATATATATATATATATATACATATATATATATATATATATATATATATAATTTAAGACTTTTTAAGACCATTATGGACAAGATTTCAGACTTATACTAACCCTAAGTTATAGCTAAACTTAGCTAAACGCTAAGGATTTTTCTAAAATGGCCAGGTTACTGCTATAAATAGTTTTTGTATTAATGAAAGATCATGTAAAGGGATGTGTTACTTTCATTTTCTTTCCCTTATTAAGGAATTTAATTTGAAAAAAACTTAAAAATGTCTAACAACTGTTGTGAATTGCTTCTCTTTACAATAAAAATGTGTGTGTGTGTGTGTGTGTGTATATACATACATAAGAATATATACAATATATGTATGTATGTATGTATGTGTGTGTGTGTGTGTGTGTGTGTGTGTGTGTATACATATATATATATATATATATATATATATATATATATATATATATATATATATATATATATATATATATATATATATATATATATAATTTGTTTTGACATTTATGACATTTTAAGACTTTGTAAGACCCGGTGGACACCCTGTATTAAATTAGTCTCTTAACTGTGTGCATATTTGCATTTTCAAAATCTATCAAGAATTATATTACTGAAAGTTGACGCATGAATACCCATCAATATAACCATAAAATTTACTTCTTGCTGTAATCCTATCCATCTTCCTCTCTGTCTTCATTTCCATCTTCTCTGTCCTCGCCAGGGTAAACCACCAGGCACAACTTCTGCCCCAAGTGTGTCAGTCTGGCTGTGTGTACATACAATGGCAGATGGAGTGTTTTTAGTGGCCCTCATTTACAGTCTGTTGAGTCTTAAGCGAATGTGACTGACATTTGTAAATCATTTTTAACATTATCACATAAGATTTAAGATTTCTTCATACCAACAAAAGAACTGAAGCTCTTGGGCTTATTTTCCCAATAGATGCCAAACAGATACACAGGAACCCCAGATAGCATGATGGCCAGACCAATACAGCACACCACAGGCTCCGAGTACAGAGAGAAGATCAGCAGGAAAGCCCAGAAAATCAGGAAAACTGCCGGCCATGCCAAGCTCACCTGTGGAGTGAAACTTGTTGATTTTTTCTGTGGAGAACTACAAAATGCGCAACACCAAACACAGAAATCTATAATTATGCATAATTGCTGTTCATAGCAACTGCTGGGATCTGACAGTTCTCAGGGTTTGCTGCCAAGTCATAACTAACAAATAGTCAATAGGATTGAGTCTTACTTTGATTGGCCGATATATGTCTGGCTCTCTGATGCGAAGCACAATCTGCCCGGCAACAGTGACCCCATAAAACAGGTAGTTGATGAAGCCAACGTAGTTGATGAGGGTGTATATGTCACTGACACACAGCATCAGCAGAGTAGATATACACTACAAAATAAGTATCTGATTATAATACATGCACAGTTCAGTTCATTTAAAAACAAAGCATTTGGCATTTCATACTGCAGGGTTTATTAACACTATTTATTCATGGACTTTATTGATATTCTTATTATTTATGCGCCTTTGTAGCTTTTAATCGGAACAACTACTTCTCTCATACTGTGAGTTTAGTGATCGTGTTTACTGGCATAAAAGCGGGACAACATGTCACTCACATGAGACAACAGTAACCTACTTTTTTTCTAGTTGAAGGAGTCATTTTAAGTTCATATTATGGCTTAAACCATAAAAGATGGCCATTTTTAATGTGTTTATTTAGTAAAAATACTCTAATAGACTAGTAGTTTGTCTACGCTAGGTCAGCAATTTTTGCTAATTGATATCTTTTCATATGTAGATGCAAATATACAAAGAAATATGCGGTCTGTTGTTTTTTATATGACATTTTTCATATTTATTCAACTCAATTAATCTTTATTTCTATAGGACTTTTACAATGTAGATTGTGTCAAAGAAGCTTCACAGAAGTTCTTGTAAGCATGGAAGGTCATTGAGGCCAAAAGTCTTTAAATGAAATGTGTGAATTCGTTTCATTCATTTTCTTTTCGGCTTAGTCCCTTTATTAATCTGGGGTCGCCACAGCAGAATGAACCGCCAACTTATCCAACATATGTTTTGCGCAGCGCATGCCCTTCCAGCTGTAACCAATCACTTGGAAACATCCATACACACTCAAACACTATGGACAAAGCTAACCCAATTTACCTATAGCACATGTCTTTGGACTGTGGGGAAAACCGGAGCACCCAGAGGAAACCCACGCAAACTCGGGGAGAATATGCAAACTCCACACAGAAATGCCGACTGGCCAAGCCGAGGCTTGAACCTCAATTCGATTGTGTCAGTACAAACATTTGGCTGTGTCAATACGTAAACAAGCACAGCAGCCAATGAAACGCCTGTATTTGTATATTTGATACAAATAGAGAAAAACACAATTTCCAAAATTTTGAGATCACTGCTTAATCGTATTTAAAAAGTTATCTAAACATGGCATCAGTGGCGTTTCAAGTCAGAAAGGACAACTAGGCCGACTATTTACTGTTTAAAACCAATTAAATTTTAGAACCAATTTTGTGTAGCTTATCAGTATCACTACGCCTCTGTGTGCACCATCTGATTGCACGAGGTTTACTAGCATCAGCTTTACTGAAAAAAGTAGAAAAAAAAGAAAAGAAAAAGAAAAAGCTACTTTGACTAATCGCCCAGTATTTTTTATTTAGTGGCTAATTCATATGAATTCGTACAATCTCACACAATTTAGTACGAATTGCTCATCCCCCAATGACTGCTGAATATAGTGGTGGGGTTTGGTGGCTCGCCTCTCTTTTTAAAACCATACTGCACTTGTACGAATTACCCACTAAACTGACAAAACATACTAACGTTGCCTCGTGAGATCAGGCTGGTCAAAATATGTATAACAGGGGAGTCCAAACTCAGTCCTGGAGGGCCGGTGTCCTGCATATTTTTGTTCCAACCCCAATTAAACACACCTAAACCAGCTAATCAAGCTCTTTGTAGGAAAACTAGAAACTTCCAGGCAGGTGTGTTGGAGAAAGTTGGAGAAAAACTATGCAGGACACAGGCCCTCCAGGACCGATTTTGGCCACCCCTGGTGTATAACAATCAAATTTGATGCATTTTTTTTTTTATTTTGGCCCCAGTTGCCTTCCATAAAAGTATGTATCACAACATTTTTCACACATGGCAAGCTCTACATAAGTATCAGCATCAGGAAGCTCTGGGAACCAAAAAACACAACATTTTTTGAGTCTACACAGATGGCGTGCGTAGAAAAGCGAATGTAAAAGATGAATGTTTATACAGAAGAGCACATGTGTTAACTCATCCATCCGTGGTAGAGTATGTCGTAAAATCTGTGAGGACACGACTGCGCATGAGATGGAACGGAAAGTGAAAAATTAACTATACCCACAGGCCTATATGTTACAATAGGGAAAACAAGAATATTTTAACTTCTGCTTCATAAAACCTTTAAGAACCAAAGAGCTCACGGTGATGAGCAAAGCTGGGATGGGTGTACAGCGGTTCACATGAATCATTGCCAGCAGACGGGGAAGATGACCCTCCCTCGCACCTGCAAAGAATAACCTGAGAAACAGACCGTTAATCAACCTGATAATGATGCTGAAAATGCTAAACTGGAAGAGCAACTAACACGCCATCATTAAGACTGACCTAGATGATGTGAAAAGGGATCCATTCACCCCTCCGAAGGTGGACAGAGCAACAGAGATGGGCATGAGCCATGACATCACGCCTAGCAGCTTTTCACCAAATGTCTGATGGAGATGAAAAGAGAATAAAGAAATGACTGGGGTCAAAGGGAAAGGTGAAAGCCGGGTACGTGCTGAGCAGACGTTAAGGGAGAATGTCAGATCTACCGATGACCTGTCTGTTTAATTTCCTGAAGGAAGAACTCATTAGGTTTCTTAATGTGAGCAGAGAAACTCACCACAGCTACAGCATTGGAGGCCAGTAACTCCTGGGGGCTCATTGCTGTAACGTATGCAATATTTGCTGATACATAGACGAACGTGACCAGAGGGATTGAGATGAAGATCGCACGAGGAAGGTTCCTATAAAGAGAATTAAAACATGAGTTCGATAATGATTAACAGCGCCATATTCAGTGATTTGGGGGCCCTAAGGAATTCCAAACAAGGGGCTCAAAATTCTAAAATGCACCTTTTGTACTTATTTATTTTTGTTTATTTTGCTGTTTTTTCATACACCTCCTACTCCTTTTCTACATTTAATTCTAATGCAAAATAATGTAACATGTAAAGCATCTTGTGACATCTTGTAAAACTTTTAAAATGATTTGTTTCTTAAAATGAATTTGACTGCTGGACCGGTCCATGATTAAGGATGGGGGACACATTTGCGCAGATGTAATAATTATATTCAATTAAAAATTTTAGAACCTCACCATACAAAATATCATACAAAGCAATATTATTTATCATTTATCATATTTATTATGTAAATATAATACACACATGCCTGCATATAATTGAGAAAATGTTTAATAATATTAAGATATAATATATATATATGCATATGATACAAATTATATATAAGATTAAATATCTATGTAATAAAATTGTTTTGCATTGTTTTTATGTATGTGTGTGTATCACATATACATAATAAATATGTATAACACACACACACACACACACACACACACACACACACACATACACACACACACACACACACACACACACACACACACACACACACACACGCGTTATGTCAAAGCAAACTTTTATTTTGGATAAATCTTAATTAATCAATTGATCACTAATCATAATGCATAAATGATCTCACTAAATTCTACACGTTCTAAATAAATAAATAAATATATATATATATATAACAGGTTCTACTAACAGGTTCTACTAACTTTCTTTTACATACAATTTGCTTCTGTTTTCATCTTAAGTGCATGGTAGAGCACAATTTTTGATAACAGGGCAGATTAAGACATAATCAACACGGTGTTATCACATCAGACTAAAACAAGCTAATGTTTCCATCTCATAGTCTATGGATTTTCAGGTATAGTAAACTTGCTTGTTAGCTCACCTGGTACACATTTTGTCTTTATTAATTAATTAACTCATTCCTTTATTTTCTTCTCAGCTTATTTCCTTTATTAATCAGGGGTCGCCACAGCAGAATGAACCGCCAACTCATCCAGCATATACTTTACACAGTGGATGCCCTTCCAGGTGCAACCCATCACTAAGAAACATCCATACACACTCATAAACACACATATAGCTAGTTTAGTTTAATTTAGTTTATTCAATTCAACTAAACCGCATGTCTTTGGAGAAAGGAAGGAAGACCTTCCTTCCTATCTCCAAAGGAGGAAACTTTCTTCCCGGAGGAAACCAACGCAAACACAAAAAGAACATGCAAACTCCACACAGAAATGCCAACTGACCAAGCCAAGGCTCGAATTAGCAACCTTCTTGCTGTGAGGTGACAGCGCTACCCACTGTGCCACCACGCTGCCACATTTTGTCTTTAATGTTATTAAATGGCTATCTGGAATACTTTATTCTGATTGGTCAACATACTTGACATTCTAAGGTATGTTATTCCCGGATAACAACAGTTGATTTTTTTAGCTCTACTAACTGGAAATTTTGAATATTTCACTTTATTTCAGATGTTTCTCATAAAATGCCCCAAAGGAACTGACACCTGATAAAAATGACTGATATACTAATAGAGCATAGCCACGAAACCTTAATTATAGAATAATTTGATGAGATCTATTTAGGTTGAAATGATAAAATAAATAACTTAGAATGAACCTAAACTGTTTGAAATATTGTTTAAATCTTTTGTTTAAAAAAAAAAAAAGATTCTCTAGACGGACATTAGTTTACTTTATTTGAGCAGTAGAAAGCTTTGCTGAAATATTCAGCAACTTCTGTTCTTAAACTGGAATTAAATTTACTTACTTTAGTCAATAGAAACAAGCAGACAGATAAATGTGTGTGTTTATAGTTAATGTGAATGTTACATTTACATACATCTTATGGTTATAAAAAATAATGAATTATTTTCTATAAAAATTGTCTGGGTGGCACTGTGGCTCAGTGGTTAGCACTATCACCTCACAGCAAGAGGGTCGCTGGTTTGAGTCCCGAAAGTTCTGTGTGGAGTTTGCATGTTCTCCCCATGTTCATGTGGGTTTCCTTCAGGTGTTTCGGTTTACCCCACAGTCCAAAGACATGCGCTATAGGTCAATTGATCAAACTAAATTGCCCGTAGTGTATGAGTGTATGTGTGAATGTGAATGTGTATGCGTGTTTCCAAATACTGAGTTGTGGCTGGAAGGGCATCCGCTGCATAAAATATATGCTGGAATAATTGGTAGTTTATACCACTGTGGCGACCCCTGATAAAAAGCGGACTAAGCCGAAGGAAAATGAATGAATGAATGAAATATTGTTTAATATGTTAAAACAAACAGGTTCACCTCACATAAAAACAGCTACTAAAAAACTAAATACATTTTTATTACTTATTCCATAAGATAACTTCTCTCAGAAAAAAAAAATCTGCAGTTTCTATATTAATTAAGACAAAGCCCTCTCTCGCTGTTAGGATTTATTATTTGGCAGTAATAGGGACCAGATGACTGCACATTAACCCTGACAAATGACAGTGTACCTGTAGGGGTCGATCAGCTCCTCTGTTACATAATTAAGGAAGTTCCAGCCTGCATAAGCAAAGGATCCCTGCAGAACAGCGAGTGCAATGCGGCCCATGTCATATGGCTGGAGAGGGTGAAATGCATGCTCCGGTTCCAACCAATAAAAATGACCTGAAGACACAGAAAGGAGATGCATTTTATGTACTATGCCCGAATTAATAGGTAGAGAATAAAGCCATATCAACTACAGCCCAATCTTTTTCTTTGTGTGTGTTTTACAGTTTCGTCAGCAAAGCACATTATGTGTGCATACAGCACGCTTATTTAAACAAAGTACAGTTTCCATGATCAAAATCAATAGTTCTTTCTTTGAGGCTTTTAGTTGAGTAGATATTCAGTGTTACTTTTTGTTCTTTGGATATGAAACGCTTGAAGAAAGAAAGAACTGATTACAAACAGCCCAGCTTGACAGTCGACTTGTCTGTGCTTAATGGATTTGTGCTCTTTTGTTTATAGAGCTAAAATAGGTCAAATATGAAAAGTATGCCTATGTAATACTCTTAGCTTGGTGTCTGCTGATTTATATACAAGCCCTTTATGTTCACATTGAATACTTAACATGAGCTGGTTAAACAAGCTACGCACTTATTTCATTGTTTCCTTGTTTTAAATCATAATTTAAACATAATTTAGTAATATGGATACTATGTGTATGGCACTGGGAACTGTAAAATGTTTTTGGGGCACTGAAAGTTAAAGTGAAATTGATACATATTTTTTGGATACATATACAGTTTTTAATACTTTATTCATAGGATATTTTTAGAAATTTGCACAAAACAGAAAAAGTAACAGTTAACAACAACAGAAAAAACAAACATCCCCAACACTTATTTCCTCATTTGTGGCTTTAACAGATAAGGCACATAGCTAACAGTCTGCACACATTTCAGGGTTCAAGTCTTCGAGCATCATACAAATGCACAGCAAATTTCTGTACAGTATAAGGTGCATACACAACATTATTATAAAAGTAAAAAATAAATCATTTAAATCAATGAATAAATAAATAAAAAAAAAATGTAAAAAGGAAAATTACAAAAGATATACACACATACATACATACACACTCACCGGCCACTTTAATAGGTACACCTGTCCAACTGCTCGTTAACGCAAATTTTGAATCAGCCAATCATATGGCAGCAACTCAGTGCTTGGTAGACATGGTCAAGATAATCTGCTGCAGTTCAAACCGAGTATCAGAATGGAGGAACAGGGTGATTTACGTGACTCTGAATGTGGCATGGCTGTTGTTGCCAGACAGACTGGTCTGAGTATTTCAGAAACTGCTGATCTACTGGGATTTTTACTCACAACCATATCTAGCGTTTACAGAGAATGGTCTGAACAAGAGAAAATATCCAGTGAGTGGCAGTTCTTTGGGTGCAAATGCCTTGTTGATGCCAGAGGTCAGAGGAGAATAGCCAGACTGGTTCAAGCTGATAGAAAGGCAACAGTAACTCAAATAACAACTCTTTACAACCGAAGTAGGCAAAAAAACATCTCTGAATGCACAACATGTCGAATTTGAGGTGGATGGGCTACAGCAGTTGAAGACCACACCGGGTGCCACTACTGTCAGCAAATAACAGGCAACTGAGGCTACAATTCACACAGGCTCACCAAAATTGGACAAAAAAATTTTGCCTGGTCTGATGAGTCTCGATTTGTACTGTGACATCCGGACGGTAGGGTCAGAATTTGTTGTCAACAACATGAAAGCATAAATCTATCCCTACCAACAATTCAGGCGGGTGGTGGTGGTGTAATGGTGTGGGGGATATTTTCTTGGCACACTTTGAGTCCGTTAGAACCAATTGATCACAGTGTTAACGCGCCTCATCCTACCTGAGTATTGTTGCTGAACATGTCCATCCCTTTATGATTTCAATGTACACACTTCCAGCAGGATAACATGCTATGTCATAAAGTGCGAATCAACTCATACTGGTTTCTTTAACATGACAATGAGTTCACTGAGCTCAAATGGCCTCCACAGTCACCAGAACTCAATCCAATTGAGCACCTTAGGGATGTGGTGAAAAGGAAGATTCACATCATGAATGTGCAGCCAACAAGCTGTGCAGCAGTAACTGCATGATGCTATCATGTCAATATGGATCAAAATCTCAGAGGAATATTTCCAGTACCTTGTTGAATCCATGCCACAAATTATTAAGGCAGTTCTGAAGGCAAAAAAGGGTCCAACCAACCAGGTAATAGTAAGGTGTACCTAATAAAATGGCCAGTGAGTATTCATGAAAAGTAACCCATTTAATGTTTAATAGCAGGAAGGTTCTGTTCTGTATAATTTTATTACAAGCAAGCCAATTGTGGTTAATGTGAAAGCCATTACAAGGTTACATTGGGAGGAAAGAAAAAAAGGGAACCTTTGAGATTCTCCCTATGCGATTAAAAATCCCTCTGGTCTAAGAATAGTAAATTATCAACATACATTATCTAAGAAAGGTAAACCATATTTCAAAAAAATTACTTTTTGTACCTTTGAGATTCAATTAGATTTTTTTTAAGCTGAATAAAATACATGACGTCTTTAATCCATCTAGTGTGTATGTTGGGTTCTCAGCCTTTTTAAATAGAGGAGAACAAAATGCCTTGCCAATATTGTGGTAACACATTACATTTTTTGTAGATAATTTCTAATATTTTCTTTACATATAAATAAAAGCACAAAATCTTCATATTAAAATAATTTCTGAAAGATCATGTGACACTCAATAGTTTGTGGGAGCTTTGCAATGACAGAAATCTATAACATTATTTACTGTATACTTACAACCGAAAAACAACGTGTTGAAGTAATATTTCACAATGAGTGTTTGTACTGATTTTTTGGACAAATTCTTGCTATCAATGCACACGCACGCACGCATGCACACACACACACTGGGAGAATATTAATAGCTTCTCAAAAGTGTCTTTTTAAAAAAATTACAATTTAAAAATTGCACATTTCTCACTCTATAAAATGTCAGTATACAGGACACAAACATATTAAAATTCCTGCAGTATGGTTGCTGATAACACAGAAATAATTGAGGTACATGTTCTGAAAATGTCAAAACCGAAACCAATGGAAAAATAAATGTGTTATAATCATCAGTTTTAAAGAAAAACTTCACTAGACTGTTTGCTGATTATCGTGAGGCTGATCTGAAAGAAAAAGAAAACTGCTTTATTATTTATAGCAGCTTCTAAGATATATAAAATAAAAACTGGAAAACAACAACTGAAAAAACCCTATGCAGATATGAGATATTACACTACAAGCAACCAGAATAAAACATGTAAAATGTAAAGAGGCAACAACACAGACTTGTTTATATATATAATTATATTAGTAAAATATGAACTAAATATGTTTATGATAATAAATGTTTGGATGCATTATGACATGAACTGTTATAATTTACCTTTGCAGATTTGCACGATGCCCATAATGATGATGAGACCGAGGGCGAGGAGCTTGCCTGTGGTGAAAACATCCTGAACACGCGTTGCCCAGCGGACACTGGAGCAGTTAATCCAAGTTAACAGCACTACAAAAAAAAAAAAAAAACAGGTATAAACATACCACCTCATATTTATAACATTAATCAAACGTTGTGTGGAAAGATGAATTCAGTCAAATATTTTACACTGAGCAACAATAAATTCAGATAGCACACACAAACAGCTACTAATATGTTGTTGCAACTTTCCCAAACATGAAAACAACAGATTAAAGATCCAAGCAAAGCAACAACAGGCAACCGGTTTAAGCCTCGGCAATGATTAAAATGGCCAGACAACATTACTCCATGGCTTTGAAAACAGTCTAAGAGCTCTTTCAGTCGGCACAATATGCAGCTTGACCTCTTGCAGAAATAAAACCCTGAGTGTTTTAGACTGGTGTGAACAAGCTCTTTGAAAACCCTCCCATCATGAGTCACAAAGCTGACATGCTTCAGCTCATTGAATGCAATTATGTATTGATGTATCCAGAGGTAAGCAGTTCCTGCACTAGAACAGGTTATAAAAAGCCACTTTTGTGTTTTAAAGTGTTACTTCTGGGCAATCGAAGATTTGTGATATAACTGTAAACATTTTTGTAATTAATGTAACTATAATTATTTCTTGACATAATTCTCTGAAACACTGATTAAAAAATAGAATCATAAAGTCTTTTTAAAAAGATGTTAATCCGTGTCATATTGTCTCTAAGTCAATGTAGATTAAATTTACCTCTTGAAAAAGATGTTCATTTTAAGAAGTATGCTCAAGTAATGTTGAAGTGTATATAACGTATACTTCATGTAACAAGTATTCCGTGTACTAGTAGTGCACTTGTAAGTGCACTACTTGAATACTGCTTGGGACTAAATTGGCTAACATCTAAGTATATAAAAATGTTCTATAAGTGTAACAGTAGTAAACCTTGCTCAAGTGGTCCACAGTTAGATTTTTCATTTGTACTGCAAGTAAACCTAAGAGTTGTTTAGGATTTGGGCTTTGCATTTAACCAATAAAAGTGCCCACACAGTAGTGAACACACACACACTCGTGCACAACCAAAAATTCCTGGCAGTATTGGGACTCAAACCTGCAACTTTTGCAAAAAAAAGTAACATTGATTCAGTAAAAAACAAAAAGCTTGTTATTAAATACCAAATGTACAATTTGTTGCAGCAATTTAGAAAAGTCATTATTGTGTATATTTTTTTCTTTTTTCTTTTCAATTGTGTGTTTATGGTATATTTACAATCTCTGATGATTTCTGTAATGTACTTGTAACCAACAAATATCAGTATATATATATATATATATATATATATATATATATATATATATATATACATATACTGTCCTATATACATATACTGTCCTATATATATATATATACACACACACACCGGCCACTTTATTAGGTACACATTCCCAGTACTGGGTTGGACCCTCTTTAGCCTTCAAAACTGCCTTAATCTTTTGTGGCATAGATTCAACAAGGTAGTGGAAATTTTCCTCAGAAATTGTGGTCCATATTGCCTTGAAAGCATTAAGCAGTTGCTTCAGATTTGTCGGCTGCACATGCATGATGCAAATCTCCTGTTCCACCACATCCTAAAGGTGCTCTATTGGATTGAGGTCTAGAAACTGTGGAGGCAATTTGAGTACAGTGAGCCCATTGTCATGTTCAAGAAACCAGTCTGAGATGATTCACGCTTGAAATGGCAAGTTACCCTCCTGGAAATAGTTAAGAGAAGAGGGGTACACTGTGGTCATTAAGAGATGGACATGGTCAGCAACAAAACTCAGGTAAGCTGTGGCGTTGACATGAAGCTCAATTGGTACTAATGGGTCCAAAGGGTGCCAAGAAAATATCCCCCAGACCATTACGCCACCACCAGCCTGAATCAATGACACAAGGCAGGATGGATCCATGTTTCCATGTTGTTGATGCCAAATTCTGACCCTACCATCCGAATGTCACAGCAGAAATAGAGACTCATCAGACCAGGCAATGATTTTTTTAATCTTCTATTGTCCAATTTCGCTGTGCTTTTGCCAATTGTAGCCTCAGTTTTCTGTTCTTAGTTGACAGGAGTGGCACCCAGTATGGTCTTCTGCTGCTGTAGCCCATCCACCTCAAATTCGACGTGTTGTGCATTCAGAGATGTTTTCTGCATACTTCGGTTGTGACGAGAGGTTATTTGAGTTACTGTCTGGCCTCTCCCCTCTGACCTCTGGCATCAACAAGGCATTTGTGCCAACAGAACTGCCACTCACTGTATATTTTCTCTTTTTCAGACCATTCTCTGTAAACCCTAAAGATGGTTGTGCTTGAAAATCCCAGTAGATCAGCAGTTTATGACATACTCAGACCAGTACGTCTGGCACCAACTACCATGCCACATTCAAATTCACCATTCTTATGCTCGGTTTGAACTGCAGCAGGTCATCTTAACCATGTCTACATGCCAAATGCATTGATATGAATATGATATGATATATATATATGATATATATATATATATATATATATATATATATATATATATATATATATATATATATATATATATATGCTAGATTAGTTTACAAAGTGTTAGGATTAGTTAGCAAATTTGCAAAAGAAAACATTGACAATTAATGTGTCTGCAAAAATATTTAGCATATGTGATTTTTCTAAGTGAATATAGGCTAAGCAGTTTTTATAAAAATTTGAGAAACACATAATAGAAGAAATACTGATGTACATCTTGAGACATAACAATAACACTGATGTATTTTTAGTTATGTCACTGAAAGTTTTTTCAGTTAGGACCACTCAAACATGCACTGTAAGACCACTCCTAAACCTCATCTCTGAAAATGGGGTACTATATAATATTATGTGAAAGAAATATATTTCTGCCACTCAATTAAGAGTAAAATCAACTACAAGCCAACTATACTTATATGTAATTTAATGTTTAAGTATTTTCTTATTTTTGTTTATGCTTGAATAAACTTTTTTCATATAGATAGATGATTGAAAGATATATATATATATATATATATATATATATATATATATATATATATATATATATATATATATATATACATATGCTCTCAAATAAAAGTTGTTTTATGTACCATCAGGGGTGTTGCAAATGAGGGAAAAGAAGAACGGAGTGCATAATTGAGCAACAAAACTGTCTGTTGGCTTGTACTCACACAGACAGACAGCGGCCAGTAAACCCAGAGCTCTCTCCGGAGGAAAGCAGGACGGGAAGAGGGGCTGCAATGCGTAATTGGCAAATGTGAGGGCAATCACAGCCTGGTTAGTTGGATAGATGACCAACACTGCAATCCACAGTCTCAGAAACCTGTTCAGAAGACAGATTCTGTAAAACCTTACATCACATTACACCTAAGGTAACGAGTCAGTCTTACCCAGCAAGCCCTCCAAAGATGTCATTAACGTAGGAATAATCTCCACCTGACTTTGGGATTGTGACTCCTAGTTCAGCATAGCACAGAGCACCGATGGCAGTGATGATGCCTGTGAGGATCCACACTATGAGAGCCAGACCTACTGAACCAGAGTTTTCCAAAACACCCTTCGGACTGACAAAAATCCCAGACCCAATGATGTTACCTGAGAATATACAACAAAATTAAATTACAAACCTTACCATTGTGTTGGAGTGCAGTGAGTGCATATTCTGTGCATTGAATGGCTGTATTTAAATTTCTGTCGTGTTTTGTCTGGTGCAAACAGCCAAATTGCTTATCACTGAAAATCTTGTCCCATAGCCTGTTGTTAGGACACGAGATTACAATGTATCCTGCTCACCTAATGTTTACGTGTGTAATATTTATATTATTTGCTAATTAATAAACACAACATGTAGAACTCAGAATCTGCGTCTCATTTTGGAGTCTACTATTCATTAGAAGTTGCATTTTATTCATGGACACACACTTTAAGAGCCTTCCTGACTGAATGAATGAAATACTCTGGCTGCGTCCGGAATTGCATACTTCCATACTATATAGTACGCTAAAATAGTATGCGAACAGAGTAGTATGTCCGAATTTATTCACTCATTTTCTTTTCGGTTTAGTCCCTTTATTAATCTGGGGTCGCCACAGTGGAATGAACCGCCAACTTATCCAGCATATGTTTTATGCAGCGGATGTCCTTCCAGCTGCAACCCATCACTGGCAAACACCCATTTTGTCTGAATTCTTGGAATTGAAAAAACAGCTATGAGAAGTACTCGGATGACCTACTACTTTCGGCGTGATTCTGAAATGCGCATTTGATGGATGCTATGCTATCCCATGATGCACCACGAGAGAATTCATGGATAGAGTAAAGCGACACAACTGATGAGGGTAGGTTACGTGATGATAACGAAATTGTGGATGTAAAACTTCCGAGTTCCATTCACACTACTCACATTCATACTGAATAGATCGTACTTTTCTGATGGCCAAGTCATTATAAATTCAAATTTAGTACCTACTGAGTAATAAGTCATGTAATGCAATTCAAAAGCATAAATGAAATAATAAAAATTAAAACATGAATCACAAAATAATTGATAGATATTTGATATTTAAAGTGCCGGGTTGAAAAAAGGTTATTACTGATTGATTTGGATGTTTTTGAAAGTAAAAAAAATCCCAAGTGGACCTCAGACAATAGAATAAAACAAAACAACCAGTTCATGACCCCTTAATGCTATTAATAAAATTGTTTATAAATATTGAACAAGCATCTGGATTTTTAGATGTTCCCATACCTTTTTATCCTGTCCTGTGGCATACTAGTAACACCACCATTCAAAATTTCAGGGTCAGTAAGTTTTCGAAAATATCATAAGAAATTTATTTGAACCGCAAAAAAAAAAAAAAAATTCTTACCAAACCCAAACGTTTGAACAAACTTTGCTCATGCCTCAGAGTCAGTGTACTTCTCTTGTATAAGGTTTTCTTCAGTGCTTTGTGGCCTTGAGGGCTGGTTTCAACCAGTCTGGTAAAATATTAAGAATGCTCATTGTTAGCACCTGTTGAGCCTTGAAAAGTTTCTTTGTTTGGAAACAAAAAAAGAGATTGAAATCTCTGGAGATTTGGAATAAAAAGATGAGGGAAGAATGAATTAAGCTGTTTTGCCACTTGAAAAACAGAAGCTCTCAAAGGCAGACTGTTTCTGTTTCACTGAAGTGCCTTCCTGAGTCCCTTTACTTCGTTTCTTTTTGTTTACTTTTAATAACATACTGAATTATTTTCTCCAAAAAAGCTAAAGATTTCTGGATAATTGTTTTGCTACAATTTCTGCTAGTTCCACAAAGTCAAATTTGAGACTTTCTTTTTTTAAACATTTCATAGACAATTATGAATAAAAATTCAGACTTATTCAGGGCTAAACAATATGTTTGTTTTTTTTCTAATGGGCTAACAGAAACATATTTTACTTGCCCCATCCAAAAAAATCAAATCAAATGAGTTATTTCTTAGCCACATATTTTAAATAATGTGTCAAAACAAGCAAACCCTAGCTGCATACACACACATTCTTTTCATCGTAACATTAGTTAAAAATAAAAATTGACAAGCTTTAAAAACCGCAATGAACTAAATGTATGAACAACAGTCTGCCCAGGTCAGTGTCCTACCGCATATGGTCTTTAAATATATGGAACATTTAACGAATGTTACTGCAAGAAAGATAATTAAAACTTTATTGGTAAATAATATTGAGATGTACTGTTGATGATTGGCCTGGCTGGGTAGCTTCACATAGGCATAGGAAAATAAGACCTGTTTAAAATTATTTAACACCTATAAGACAACATTTGAGTGAATGTAATGCTTTTTAAAGCTAAATATTTTGTTTTGAAAATTGAAGTCATTTTTTAGACCTGATCTGAAAAGTCGAAATGATCTAATAAAGAGTCAACATTTTATGATCACTGAAAATAATCACAATTTATAATGCAAAAATGGACAAGTCACAAATATAACAAAAACATGTCAGAATTATGAAATAATAAACTTTAGTTGTGAGATAAGTGGAAATGAGGAAAAAGGCTACAAAAAAATTGTCCATTATAATGATCACAATGTTTTACAAAACTTTTTGCCTCACAACTGACAAACAAACCACACAGGCATAAAAAAAGAAACTTTAAAAAATGTGAAATTTATGATCATAATAAAACTAAAAACTGCTATTAAAATTAATTTGTAATTGTAAAACCCAGGCCATCTAGATCAGGGGTTCCCAAACTTTTCAGACTGCAATCCCCAAAATAACAGTGACTCATGACCCCTGATATCTTCTGTGGGTCATAAATACAGAAACCTTGCATGCAACTGTGCACAAACACCAATAGGTCTATTCTTCATATTATCTTTTAAAAAAATGTATGCTGGTGCTGGAAAGGTGTCAGAAAGTTTAACCTGGTGCCATAAAATCAATCTCCAGCATCCGACACTGTGGCTGTGTCTTTAATATAATGTAATCACCCCAAGAGTCACAATCCAATGGCTAAAAAAAAATAAATAAATAAATTAAAAATTAAAAATCAAAAAAATCCAAAAAATCAAAAGACTTTAGCTATGAAATACTCTTTTTATTTTCAGTAGGTTATGGATACAATATGGTAATTCTAATGGTTTAAGACAATTAGATTTTTGGAAATCACCAAGCCACCCCCCTTACTTGTCCTGCAATCCTCTGGGGGGTCCCAACCCCCACTTTGGGAACCACTGATCTAGATTATCTGTTGTAATTGTCAGTAAACAAACAAGTATTTTGGAGTTGTCTTTTTCCAGGACTCTTTAAAGGGCACCTATGATAAAAATCATCTTTTGTAAGCTGTTTGGACAGAACTGTGTGCAGGTATCAGGTTTTCACAGTCATTTGGGAGTGTTAGAAACACAATAGTTCTCTTTTTTTATTTTATTTCCTGACGTTAAAATTGAGGTCCGTAGCAACGTGACGTAGGATTTTCTCCATCCACCAAATTGGTTGACAGCCACGTATTAACATGTCTCTGTAGTAACGTGTAAAATCATATCAGCAAGACAGGACCAGCACAAAGCAACTGGAATTAAAATATCTGTTAAACTCTGTGATCATCCACACCTCAAAAATGAGTTTTACATGTTCATAACGTTTTTAAAACAGTGCATGTTTGTAATAAAGACGGTAAAATCGCTGTAATTCATCACCACAGTCGCATTTCAGTACAATTATGAAAGACGACACTCCAATCCCAGTTTGTGGACATTAAATCTGGTTTATTTTGTACATTAACATAACGGATATTCATACAGCAGTGTATATTAAAGTGTATCCTGTCACATTTGCTGTGAAAAATCTGTAAAGTTAAACAAGCACGCTGTGTGTGTGCATGAACATTGTTAATGACATTGTGTGTGGCTCATCATTGCAGAAAGGCTTGAATTACCTCCAAAACAAATACATTAAATAATCATTGGAAAGTTCTTAGTACTGTAGTATTTCTCAAAAACAAGTGTAATCTGCTTCCTTCATATCTGTCACTGTGCTGTTTATCTGATGCAGCAGGAGATGGAGACACACATCAGAGCCATAGAAAGAGATCACTGTGCCTCTGATGGGCACGTAGGAATGGTGGGCGGGGAGTACTACGCAGTACAAGAAAGTAGGCGCAGGCAAGAAAAACGACAATGTGCTCAGATCTGAAAATTCTAATATTCTGAAAGGTATAATAAATAATCTGAATAGTGTTTTGAGCTGAAACTACACATTCTGGAGACACAAAGGACTTCTCTTAAATCTTAAAAAAGGGGTTAAAATAGGTGTCCTTTAAGGTTGATATTAACATTTATCCAATTTATGGCTTATCCAAAAGCTGAATTTTAGGTTCTGTTGCCAATAAGGATCCTGCTGAAAAACCTAAGGACCTAAAGCGTTCAAATGATCACACACACACACGCCATTGCCCGTGCCACATACAGCAGCTGTTAATGGGCAGCAGCACAGGTAGAAAGTGACCTGACCTTCAGTAACCCAAACACCGCCTCGCAGCTTAAATCTCAGGTAACAAACATCGACCCAGCAGAGCGGTAACTGGCACAGACATGTCAGCAAGCTTCTTTTATTCAAGTCTAAATTACACGCCGTGTTGTGACCTAGTTTAGGTTTAACTCACTACTTAACACTGGGCTCCTACTGATAAATCTCTTTACTATTTCATAATCCTTATTGGACTGTGCTTTGAAATCCCTTTTGAATTCACTTTAGGAGTTTACAAATACCACATATAATATCATGAATAAATCTAATATTAAAAACATCAAAATAAATTATATAATTCGTTTTTTTTTATCTTATTTTAAATTTCACAAAATTTGAGGCCTACTTTTTTTGTTTATTGTATACGTTCACTCTTAAAGTGCAAGGAGAATGAAAGGTAAAGCATAAAGCACACTTACCCACGACAATCCCACATGCACTGAGAAGTCCGATCTCTTTCTTTAGGGTAACCGCTGGTTCTCCGTCGGGATCCGAGTCCGGCACTGATGCAGTCCTGCGTCGGGTGCCACCGCTGCTCATTTTCTCACAGACAGCAGCGACTCTGTGTTAAGTGTTGATGTTTAGAGTCGCTGTAACTTTATCCTCCTGCCTCAAACTTATTGTGCTAATCTGATCAACCCGCCTACACTGTGCTGGTTTGGTCTAGTTTAGTAGATGAGAATAACAAAGGAATATTATGCAACTACTAAGAGATTTTTTTATTTTTTATTCTGTTATTCGGCAGCCTGTTGGAATCACAACAGTCTTTGCAATGTAAAATAGCAATTTTTGGACCAAATGAATTAATAATCTTAAATGATAAATCAGGCAAAGAAATGATTTTCTCTTAACTCATCAGTATTGCCATTCACATATTGGTGATTAAAAAACGTCAATGTCATTAAAAAATGATCATACTTGTAACTATATTAACTATACTGTGACTTTTTATTAAAATTTTTCCCCCTTGTTTTGAATTTTTGTCATAATGTTGACTGAATTATTTACAATGGTAAATAATTATACAAAAAAATGGATTTTTAAAAATTACATCTGGTTGTGTGGTCATGAATATTGCACCAGCTTTGAATGTTATCAGTAGATATAATAGGCATTCAGTATAATAGGCAATCAGTGGTTATCAGCTAATAGATATGAGACAGTAGAGGCCTTCTGCACCTACTAGTAGGCTCAAAAGGATGTTATCATCCATCCACATGGTTAATCAGCTATACTGATAGAGAAGACTACAGATCCAGATCTGTTTTGACATTACTGTGACAGTTGGGTTTAGGGTAGACGTTAAAACAATGCAATTAATGGGACACTTTATAAATATAAATAATTCTTGTTAACTTCAAGTTGCAACCATGTGATCTATAGCTGATTAACCATGTGTATGGGCGATAACAGTCTTCTGAGCCTACCAGTAGGCGCAGAAGGCCCCTACTGACCCATATCTATCAGCTGATAACCACTTATAATGCCCATTCAATTAAGTTTTAATATTCGAATCGACTGAATATAAAATCATAGTGTAAGTATTAAACTATAATAATCTGTCTTAGTGTTACATTTTAAGTAAAAAATACAAATAAAACACAAATAAATGTTAATATGTTATATTTGTATACAAGGCTGGATTTTTAAAAATCACATATGAATGTTTGAACCAATAATTCAGTGTTAAACTGTATTATCATGACTTTTTTAACTTGTGTTATAATTATGAATTTTGGTAACTTAATTTTGACTTGTTATATAATTTTGTTGTTTATTAATGATTTCCACCCTAGTTTTGATTTTTTTTCTATGCATCGATGGATTTGCTCTTTAGTGTTTAGGCCCTCAGTAGTGATGATTAAACCACACTGAACTAAGCTAAACTGAACTTAAACACTAAATACTAAACTACACTGTTTCAATTTACTATGATCTTTTATGTGAAGCTGCTTTGACACAATCTACATTGTAAAAGCGCTATACAAATAAAGGTGAATTAAATTGAAATATATATAATTAGCAAATAACAAAGTGTTTTTTACTTTCCAAATACAGATTACATTCGATTTAAACGATTTTGATACATTGTAATTCTAAATCATTTGGGAAATGATTGTTTGAAGGCTTATTTGCCACATTAAGTGTGAACTGATGAATCATTCATTCATTTTCTTTTCGGCTTAGTCCCTTGATTAATCTGAGGTTACCACAGTGGAATGAACCACCAACTTATCCAGTGTACGTCTTTACGCAGCGGATGCCCTTCCAGCTATAACCAATCCCCGGGAAACATCCATACACACTCATTTACTTCAAACAATTTAGCCTACCCAATTCACCTGTACCGCATGTCTTTGGACTGTGGGGAAAATCGGAGCACCCGGAGGAAACTGACGCGAATGCAGGGAGAACATGCAAACTCCACACAGAAACGCCAACTGACCCAGCCGAGGCTCGAACCAGCGACCTTCCTGCTGTGAGGCAACATACACATAATATACACATCACACATACAAATGAAATGGAGGCAAGGAGAGCACAATGTTTTCAGCATTTTAAAGAGCCAGAATTATGTTTGCTAGAGGCCAGGTGACCGAATGAGCTCTTTGGCCAGAAAACAAAGCTTCTCAGCCTTGCAAATCAATATGCCTTTCCCCATAGTTACAGTGTAATTTATTTGTGTCATGCTTTTCATTGTAAATGCCTTTCCAAAGAAAAAAGAAACACAAAATTAGCTTCTTGAATGTGTGCGTTTTGAAAATGCTGAATGTTTATAACAATAATGTAGCTAAATATCCAAACAATATTTACAATGCGACAATCCTAAATTTGCCAAAAATGCCCAGTAGTTTGTGTGACAAAGTACTTTTGTTTATTTTACATTTATATCTTTTACCTGCTATTAAAAATTGACCCAACTTATTTGGACCTCTCACCATTTTATTTTACTTTTCAGGTGCTGCTGGTTGCAATTCCTGAATTTTCATTGCTAATTTTAAGCCAATTGTAACAGTTTGTTTTGGTTCAATTTCAAATTTCCCCAACACTCGCAAAGCCCGGGGGACCAGAGTAAGCGCTCCAGCATGGCCTCCTCTGATCCCCTCTCATCATTTTATCGATCGGAATTCATGTTTAATATCGGTAAACAGTAAAGCCCCACCTCGCATCCCCGCCGCCTGTTAGGGCATTGCAGGTGAATATGGTAAAAAAAGAAAAGAATTATTAGTTATCATCACACTTCCCTGGCTGATAGAATATAAATCTAGATTATCTTTAAATATTATATTATGCAAATGACTAACTATTTTAATAAATATGTGCTAATTTGCGTACACTTTAGCACAGGGGTGCCCAAACTCGGTCCTGGAGGGTCGGTGTCCTGCATAGTTTAGCTTCAACTTTCTTCAACACACCTGCCAGGAAGTTTCTAAAGAGAGCTTGATTGGCTGGTTCAGGTGTGTTTAATTGGGGTTGAAACTAAAATATGCAGGACACCGGCCCTCCAGGACCGAGCTTGGGCACCCCTGCTTTAGCAAAAAATGGCAAAAATTCTTGGTTTTGAAAGGTTGTTACAGAGAGCATTTTATTATCACTCAAAATAATTTAAAATTAAATAAATATAAAAATTAAATGTAAAATCAAATATTTTTTATTAAATAAAAAATATTTTATTCAATGAATTGGTAAACAAAATCGGCAAAATATCCCTGACACTGAACATATGCTTTTAAAAACCTTCAGAGTATGAATTTAACTGGACATTTACGTTCAAGAGGAAAAAGTTCATGTTTAGAAAATTTTAAAAATATGTATTGTAATTGCAATCATTATACATTGATAAGTGTAATAAAAGAAACAACTTACTCTGGACATTTTCTTTTCTATTAAAAAAAAAAAAAAAAAAACTTTATGAAAAGCCAAAAAGCCCAGAAATTAAAGTTGCCAAATGCATGAAAAAACATATTTTTAACGCTTTATTAATATAATAAACAAAGCAACGTCACTATAAAATAATTGTTTTGAATGTCTTGAATAAAGTTTAAATTACTGAAGGGAACGTCTATAAGGGTTACAGTCCTATTTAAAATGATAACCAATGTTGTAATGGATTGTAAAGTCTAAATTAAATTGGGAGATGTGGGCTCAAAACACACTCAAATAGTCTAATTAAACTAGATAAAGCTTTTACTTTCTAATGTGTGTTCCAAAGGATCCCAATCAATGGTGCTTGAACAGCTATTTGTGACTATTCCCACCATAACGCTAGTAAATGGGTTCAGATGTCTTGGCTGACATACTTGGAGAATCTCCCTTGTTCACAAACTGTGCTCTTTTAATGACAGTTCACGAGTGAACAAAAACAAAGCCAGAGCTGATGGCTCCTTCAGTTTAGCTACAAATGATACCCTTCTGTTAAATAAATCCAAGCTAATGGGTGTGATATTATTTGTAGATACAATTTGTTTATGCAAATGTTGGCTAATTTATTCAGGAAATACAATGAGCACGTAAATACTGCAGATTTGTTGTGGATCCCCCACATTAGCTCAGATTAGATATTAGATTATTGCTACACGATTAATTATCATGCATACTGTGTATAAAAATAATAAATGCCTAAAGTGAGAGACAATTTACAAGGCAATCAAACTGACAAGCTAATTGTAAAAAGTTACAAATATGTGTATTTATACTTTTTAATGTGATTTACAGTAGATAATTACATTAAGCAGGTTTAAATATACATTTAAAAAAAACATTAAGACAACAAAAGGGTTTATGTTCTCCAAATGAATGCCAAGGAGCTATTAGCAACAGTTAAACGTTTGAAAAACAAACTTACCAATCTGTTACCTTTTACTTAATTTAACATAAAAAGGTATAAATAAATGCTCAAACACTAAAAATAGTTTTTACTGTACATTCTGATCATACTGCAAAAAAAGCATTTCTGCAGATTTTTTTTCAAGTAAACTTTAAGACTTAAAGACTTTTTTTTACATCATCATGAATGAAATTTTAGAGTTCAGGAAACTAAACTAAAGATGATTTTTTAAAGAAGTTTTTGTTTTTTTGCTTGCCACAACAGCAACAAGTTTGAGTTGTTTCTTAGCCATATATTTAATGTGTCAAAACAAGAAAACTAGTTGTATATACTTAAAAAAATTAATAAAATTTATTTTAAAAAAGGACAAAGTTCATCATTGTTAAAAATGTATTTCTTATGGACATGATTTAAACCTTACATCTGTACATTTTTTCAATAAATGGAAGATCATGTAAAGGGAAATATTGCTCTGTTATTATCATGAGGAATTGTGTAACTGTTTTTTTAGGTTTCTTTCCCTGATTAGAAAATGTAATTTCGACAATTTGCTGCAAAAAAATATATAAATAAAATGATTGTCAAGATCTGTTTTGAATGTTCAAAGACCTACAACACAAAATTTCAGTGAATTTAACACTTTTTAAGGCCTAAAATTTTGCTTTTGAAATGTAAGACATTATAAGACCCCACTGACACGTACGTTTATATTGTACGTTTATACTGTTTTTCAGTGCAGATATCGAACAGTACAGATACACAAACTTTACTGGAATAATACAAATCTGGTAGTTACCTTTAATCCAGAGCTATGAAAACTGC